AGGATCCCCTGTCAATGCGGCAAGGTGTACATCGGAGAGACTGGAAGACCTCAGCAAGACAGAATAAAGGAGCACGATCGAGACATTCGACTCGCCTGTACCGAGACCTCCGCCGTTTCGGAGCATGCCCACGACACCGGAAACAAGCCACTCTGTACGAAGTAAAGTTTATTGATCGTGACCCTTATCACTACACGCGCAGGGTCAACGAGGCAATTCATATAAGACTTCACCCTAACAACATCAACAGGGATAGTGGAATAGAAATTCCAGAAGCGTGGGTGCCCATGATCAAAAAACACAACAACAGGAGAGCCGTGCGACAGCGGACCGCCGAGGGAGCAAATCACTGAGTGAACAGGAAGGATCGAAATGCACCAATCAGAGCTGTTGAAAAACAACTAATCACAGCAGAGCATCATGCTTTATGAGATCACGCATGACCAGTCGACCTGAGGAAGACTAGCAGTATGCAGTCGAAACGTCGCGATCTACATCACACGTGACTACATCGTGAGACAAACGAAAAAATCAGCTTTTATTGTTATTCACCACGATGAATAACCAAAACCTTTTCTACGAAATGATTTTATTTTCCTTGGTTTGTGCTATTAAATTTGACTACACAATATCATTGCGCGTTTGCGCTGTCAGCGCTTACCGGCATGACCCGTAGAAACTTGAAATCATGATAAGATTTTGTGATAAGGAATGCAAATAGCAGTGTCATTCGATCAGATGATTCTGAATCAGATGATCAGATGAATCATTCCTCTACCTCCTAATGGAAACTGACTGCATCTAAACTTCCTCTTAACCAAGTTGATTCAAAAATGGTCGAGAAGCCATTCACCGATAGAAAATTAGATAAAGTTGATTTTCGGTTCTGATCGTCCGGAGAAGAGTAGTCCTAAAGCGGAAGTCGTCATCGGAGTCATCATCGAAGTCACTCTGATTTAGACTTCCGCCTCAGGTTGTCGAAACGTCAGTCACTGCCACTAACAACACAGGTACAGATCCAAGCATTTTTGATAGGTGGGGGGATAGTTGATTAGTAACACTCAACCTTGTCGTTTAACGTTTGCTTTCAGACAAGTAGTAAAAATACCCACATGTCTGATGGGTGGGAGGTGTAAACCCCCCCCCCCCCCCCCCCC